GCAATTTGTTGATTTAGAAGCTGTCTCACTCATGAGCGCTGTACCCCTCTGGGAACTGTGAAGCGCTGAAGGCAAGCTTGTATGATGAATTACCGATGCAAGCAATCGTAGACCAAGGTTCATGCATAACCAATTTATGTTTGATGTTTCATTCCTATGGATTAATAACGCTGAACACATAGGCCGAAAACCTGCCACATCACGTTAATAGGGGTCGCAAAGCTATCTGTGCATTTAACTGCAAGATGGAAAGAAAAGGTGTGCAAATTGAAATAGTGTAATGTTTTTGACACCGAACATACGTAAAATACAGTATGTTTACCTCATTAGCTCGTAGACACCATCTAATTCCAAGACAAAAATGATCATTTAAAAATTGTGCGCAGGAAAAGATTTCTTAATATAGTATTCAGTCGGAAAAGCTTTATAAGATCCGAACGCAATACGTAAATGAATGATTAAGGCTGTGCGTTATCATATAAAATTCACCAGACAAGAAAATTTGTTGAGGTGCAGGCAGGAAAATCCTGGGAAGAACAGTGAGGCCAGGGATCTTACTAATTCGACCGCGTACAGTTTGCATTGGTCGGTCCTACTAGCATGCTTTGCTATGAACGTCATAAATTGCACTACATATACATGTATTTTATAGTTTGGTTAGGCCTTCGGGCATGTGTCATGATCTCCATTAAACGTGTCCATGAATGGATTTCTAAATACCTCACACGTGTTTATATGTCTGAGCGAGTAAATTTCAAGGATTCTCGTGAAGTTGCTATACTTACTCCATTCCGCACACTTTTCGAAGAAATCGCTCTTCCGTGATTTCAACGCATTGAGATTGACCGGTTGTTCCAGAAGTGTTAGCCATGACGAGTACGCGTTCAGGATTCCTTTTGACTTCTCGGAAATCATCTTCGTTGTAGATGCCATAATTCGAAACAGATATGAACCCTGGTACGTCATCGACAGCAAAATACGCCTGCAAAAAGCACCGTTTGCTTTCACAACAAACCATAAATTGTGCCATAATCAATAGTAATGGCTAAATCTTAGCTGCGTCCGTGTGACAAAAAAAAAAAAAAAACATCAACGGGGTATTCCATAGTGACATGATCGGCACAAGTATAACAGCAACAACACTTTTCTTAAGATTTGTAGTTTACATGAAACATCGTCGAAATATCATATCAACACTTGAACTTGACTTATTAACACAATCGGCCCGCGCAGGCATCAGTACAATGTTCATAGTAGTGGGCAAATATACGCTTAGTCAATATTTGTCAGTAGATGCAATGGTCCAACTTAAGGCAAGGTTGACTGCATCGAAGATTGTCTAATTATGATTGCAAGCGTCACATAATAGATCAGCGAACAAAGATGTTAATCCGCGTTTTGACTGCATCGATGATTGTCTGAATATGGTTGCAAGCGTCATATAACAGATCAGGCAACAATGATGTTCATCCGGGCTTTAATTGGTCAATGCATATAAGTGGTTCGTTCTGTTTGTCTCGTTTCGAATCTCGCACAGAACATTGTATAAACACTGATGCCATAGTACGCACTATTTTAGCGAACGTTTTATTTCAGTCTGTGATTACACGATTTTCTTCTGCATAATATAAAATACATTTTCATTGAGTTGTGAGACATATTTAGGACGTTTTAAAAAGAAGTTGTTATGTTAAATATGAAGCCCCTATGAGGCGATTCGTAGCAATGCGACGGCCTTTGTCAGCCGTCGCATTGTGGTGTCGCCGTTATTTAATGTCCATTTGTCCAGTGGTCATCGACATGGCCACCTCCTTTTTTTTGGCGACATATAAAACGACACTCTCGAGATGCTCTGGGCTTGGTGCCATGCTGTGCTGCGTTTGGGAGTGCCAAGTAAGAGCGCTTGTACTGGCAACGGTAAATGAATTCCAAGTAACCAATATTTATGAATGAGTGGTCCTCTTGGTGATTGCTAGAAAATGGGTGCGGAAACGAGCCTGAAGATGCAGTGCAAGGCATAGAAATATGAAGTAAGTTTGTCCGTCAGGTATCCCGTTGTTGCTGATGATTTAATCTCAAACTTTGTTGCATAAACTCATCCTAGTTTCCGCCTTGCGAAATAACGTCCGAAAAAGTTTCGGGCAGACTTTTTTGACAGTTTGTACTATAAACTAAGTTAAGCTCAAAGTGGGATAGATGTTTTTTATGAATAGGATTCATTTTCATTGATTTCAAAAAGCAGCACAGCATCACAAGCATACAGACGAGCGAAATAGTATCCATGTACTTGAGTATCTTATTCCCACTCAACTGCACTAGAAACAGTATGTAGGGAATTCAATGGTCATCTCAGCTGTTGTAGAATGCCATTAGAAAAATAGAAGTGTCATGAATGATTGAAGCAAGCTTTATCCACGAGGTTATCTAACACGCTCAAAATTGCCTGTAAGAATCACTGGTGGCTAAAAAGGCTCGAGAACTCTACTTGTTACCGAAGCTGTCATCTTTTGTTGCAGCCAGACATTCAGGGCTAAAAAGATTTCTGAACCAGCAGTGAAGCAGCTCTTGGTAGAGTATCGAAAAAGAAAGGTCGCGATGACCGATCTTATATGTGAATTATGTGTTTGAATCATCAAACGTGTCAGGAAAAAATGCCTGCGCAGTATGACAACTCAGCTTGGCAGCGTATGAGATGGTCGATCCACAATTCGCGTCACAAGCGCTTATAATAGATCACGTCTAATATATAGCTCACGACTATGCACGGTCGGATAGCACGTGGGACGACTTCGAGCTCTCTCATAATACAGTTCCAAGTACTGTAAATCGTTAACCACTTCTTCTAAACACACATAATATTCGGAGCGTTCTTTTGGGGACTTTGTGTGACACCAATTGTGCTTTTGATTTCCAACAACCATGTGTCCACACAGATCGAAAATCTTTGCTTAATTACCGAGACTATGTGTGTGAAACAGCGGAGTGCTTTTTGAGATGATACTCAGAGCGTAGGTATGGGGACTCACGACAGTGACATCATCTTCAAGAGTAGTGCACAGTAATCTTAGGCGTAACACCTATGTGCGCTGATGATAAAAAAAGGAAGCCTGAAGCGTTCCTTATACATTCGTCTAAGACGACGAATTCATTGAGAAAAGCATCTTCTCAAAAGATTGATTTGATCCTAGCTCACCCCCCCCCCCCCCCTTCCTTACGCGGTGCACGTAGCGTTACAGTGCCTCCAGGATTGGTCCACCTCTCACAAAGTGGTGATCTTGTCATTACAGAGCGACATGTCTTGATGACGTCGTGAAATTAGACAATCTGTGCGATCTATGATGACACGATTTAGCATATTTACACCTCGTACGACTCATCTCGGAATATCATTTGTTTTATGTTACCGGTCACATGTTGACGCCGATTGTCACTTCCGCCGTTTTCTGTGGCAGACATGGCTTTCATCTTAGAAACAAAACCGGAAATGACGTCCCTTAAAATATAATTGCGGGCACGTTTCCGCACATGCAATACACGTCTCATTTTACTGTCGCATGAATGCACAAATTATGTGCTAAGAATCAGCAAGTTAGAAAAAAGTGAAATCTTTCACATGTATCACGGTCTTATATTTTCACTATAGGTTGCTTTTCGACTGCACACGACTAGTGGTTGCTAGGACGACGGCTGTTGTCTTTACACATCTCTGCCACTAAGTATGCCATGTCTCAAGCGACTCAAATATATTTAAAGCTTTGAGTGAGGCAACCTAATTGAATATCCTGCGATTTGATTGATTCAGTCAAGGCAACGCAGGGGGCATTATAGAGAACATGTCTCCCACTAGTTTACCAGGCTTTCTGCACCACCCAAATCAGTACAGGACACGTGAGTTAGTCAGAGCGGTTATACACCACATCCAAGCTTTACCCACGAAAATAGTAATTATCTTCTGAACTGTTTCGCAATATCAGACTATATATATTACCTAACGTGGATCCTTCATTGTTTCATAATTGCACTGACCTCGAGGTGTAATATAAAAATCGCGCATGAGTGTGTTTCTAAAACATTCAAAGATACACTTTAAAAAATAGACATGTTCAGTTTCAGCAACTTCTCGAAGCAACTACATTAAAATTTCAGCTCATCTCTTCACAGCACGATACCGTGAAATGGCTCTTTGAATCTATCCCACCAGGCAACTGATGATGTTGCCAAGAGGTGGCTTTCTTCATCTGACCAATCAAAGGGTGACTTTTAAAAGCTTTCGCGTGAGAGCTCGTGGCTCCTGGGCAGTTAGGCAATTTTTATTTTCGTGCATTATCACAAACCAGTATAGATGAATGATGGGAAACCCAGCATTGAGATGATAAATACCTTGATGCGGCTTCGTAGGTCTCTAGGGTTGAACTTGGCTGAGTGACGCAGATCGGTGACAACATGTGTTGCGTCACTAGTTTCTAAGTGTTGTTGAACCTCTCCTTGGAGGGGAAGATGAGGCAAGCAATCAATTTTCGGATATAGAAATTAACTTTACGAAGCACTGTCTTGCATATAGCGTCCGCATATATTTCGCTTACTGAAAAATTTTTAAAAATATTTTCAAAAAATAAATGTACTTTTCTCATTTTTTACAATAAATGCATTTTATATTCTTGGTTGTTAAGATTACGCCACAGAAAAGAGTAACTTTTGTACAATACAGTAGAGGAACATCAGACATTTTTAGTTCACTCGGTATTACAACCAAACCAAAAGGCAGCTCATTCTGGTTCCTAAGAATCGTACTTCGTACTTCATTACTAAATTAAACTCCCTTTCAGCAAATATAGTTCTTATATAGCTGTTACCGGTGCTCATTATTTGTTCTGGGTCATACATTTTTCCGTATAAACTTGCGTAACGTTTGTTGCACCAGTGTTCTTAATAATAAAAGTAATCAGCCTGCCTTTAAGATATAAGTAACAACTTGGACATATTTATTATCTAAATATTGCAGCCCTGCTATAAGGCTCAACTACTTTAGACATAATCCAGCTGTGACCATTATTTGGTTCTTTTTTGTATTTTGGAATTTGCGCTATAATTGTGTCCACAACCCTGCTTCTTCACTTGTTTTCCGGACACTTTAAGTTCTCATGAAACAGTGACGTGTGTTATTTGCCATTTTTGTTTTAAGAAATGAGCCATTAAAAAATGAGACGTTTCATCGTATACGTGAAGGAACCGTCACTCAATTTTAGCCGAAAACTATGTGCTGAATTGTATCGTAACGTGCGCAAATTAAGCGTGTACAACTTTATTCACTTAACTTGAATTCCTTTGACATCTATCAGGCAACTCATCATCACTGAATCTAGTATGCTGAGCCAACGAACCTTGTGTAAGCGTAATTGAATTTCGAAGTAAAATATTACTCTAATTTTTGTAGTCAAGCAAACCGAATTGCTGTGACGGTCTCACTTTTAGTCTTTTCCTACCATAGCCACGTGATTTGAAAATCATCAGCTCGCGAGAAGTAATCTTCATACAGCATGTCGATGTCGACCGATTACGTTTCGATATATGTGTAATAACCGTGCCATACCTTCTTTGTATTCAGGATCACTCAGCACTACGGTTGCCCCGGCAACAGCGATGCTGTAGAGCGCCACAAAAGCTTCGATGCTGTTGCCGAAATGACAGTACACTTTGTCGCCCGGACCAACGTCGTGCGCTTGAAACAGCGCGGCGCAGCAGCGGAGATTTTTCATGAGTTCTTCATAGGTGACCATTCTGTGTTCATCGGCCTTGCAGACATGCATCAAAAAGAAAAGAGAGGAATGTTGGAAAGCTTTAAAGGGATAGCAACATATGCAGATGCAAAAAAAATGCTCCAGTTTTAGTCGTACATCATGTGCAGTTGTTCATCTAGCGAGGAATTTGCAGTTCCTACACTGTACGCAATTCTTAAGAATCGGAAGGTTAGTTAGAGAAAGTGTAAATTTTGGAGAGGCACTGCATCATCCGTGTTGTCGTACATTGTACACAGCAGTGTGCAGGGCTGTCTACAATAGTAAATATATGCGGCTGTGCTGAAATAACTGCACATGCAAATAAATTTACCTCAAATGAAATTTGCCATTTCAACGCTGCCTGATATCATCATTCTCAGTAGGCTCATTATAGACTTGGTGCTGGTTTCTTGACGGCCTTAAAATAGTGTTCGTGCCAGTTATCATGGAGCTTGTAGAATAATTGGACAGGATGATGACCACCAATCTCTCTCACTTACGTACAACAAGCACGAGGTATTTTTGCATTCCTTCGTTTACTTTAAGTTGTATCCAAACGTTTTCAACTTGTCATGCTGTTATTGTATGACAAAAAAAAAAAACACCACCAGGCCAGTGCGGAATGCATAGCACAGTCAAAGCGAAAGCTGGAGGAGTGACCTTGCAGAGGCTTTTTTAAACAATCTTTGGGCAACTGCTCTACGCGCACTTTCAGGGTACCCACTACGTCATAAATCATCGTAACTTTTGTGTAGTATAGGGAGGCATTCGCTATGCCATCCTAAGCGTGGCACCTGCTGTGCACGTGCAAGAAAATTTGGGCAATTTTGGATGCTGTGGCCGACGCTGAAGAATTGTGCCTGAAGCTTTAGTATTGGGTGGAAGCATTCGATGACCCACTCGTTACGCAATTCACATTGTTTGGAGACCAATGATCCTATAGCCTGTTTTGAAATGCTGTATTACTGATATTGACGCGATTACTTTCCCGTCATGAAGCCTGCTGAAGGTCAGTTCCCAACGAAGTTCATCCGCAATGGTGGTCTAGTGGCTAAGGTACTCGACTCCTGACCCGCAGGTCACGGGATCGAATCCCGGCTGCGGCGGCTGCATTTCTGATGGAGGCGGGAATGTTGTAGGCCGGTGTGCTCATATTGCGGTGCACGTTAAAAAACTCCAGGTGGTCGAAATTTATGGAACCTTCCACTACTGCGTCATAATCACATGGAGGTTTTGGAACGTTAAACCCCACACATCAATCAATCAATAGAGTTCCAAACATTAAGTGTTTATCAGTAACACTTGAGCGTTTATTGTCGCCATGTGATTGTACTTTCGTTTGCCTATTTGGCTTTATTGCACAAGTACTTTAATAAGTACCTTGAAAAAGTGGCGTGGCTCAGTGGTAGAATACTGGGCTGGCACGCAGGGTACCCAGGTTAGAATGCCATCGTGACCTTGGTGTTTTTATTCTCAAAGTTTCATTTCACGTGACAGTAATTGTGGACACTAGTGGTAGCGGCGGCATGCGACTACTTCGCAAACGACCCTTGTTGTGATCTCACAAGAGCTCCCGCTGTATTAGTGAGAACTAATAGACGCTCAAGAAAAAAAAAAATCCCAGCATATCCATGGAGTGAATGATGATGAGTGGGGTGAAGCGTCCGTCAGTGCGACCGTGCTTCCGTCCGTCCATGTGTTCGTCTGTCACTGCATCCGTACGTCCACTGATTCAATCATCCGTCCGTGCGTTCATCCGTCCATCCGTCTGTCCGTCCGTACGTCCATCGATCTGTCCTTGCTTTTGTCCGTCCATGCGCCTTTGCGTCTATCTGTGCGTTCATCCGTGCGTCCATCTTTGCGGTCATCCGTGCGTCTATCCGTGGCCCATCATCCGTGGCCCATCGGGAAGAAAGCTAACTTCCTCGCTGCGTTGAGCGACGCAATCGCAACCTTTCTTTTGGGGTTTCCAGCCCCTCGGCGAGTGCGGGTCAATTTCCGGCGCAACTTCGCTGCTGTCGACACCCATCTTACCACCGCTCTGACCGCCTATACTCCAAGTTGGGACGATCTACGAGACCAAGGTTCGAGCCAAACAGCTCGACCTGAACACCTGTGTTGGCACGGTTTTTGGAGCGGACCCAACTATCCCTGTCGAGGACCTCGCCGACAACATTGCTTCACCAGTGCCCCTCGTGTCCGGTGCACGCAGAGGCAACTGCCTCATTCTCACCTTCACTGGGACTACCGTCCCGCCGGATATACTGCTTTACAAGCAAGGGCGCCCTGTTCGACCCCGCCAGCCCCGGCTCCTGCAGTGCTGCCGTTGCAGCCGCTTCGGAAACGCAACCGGCATCTGCTCTCGAGACGAACGGTGCCTGCTCTGCGGCATCAGGCCCGCCCCAGGATCATGTGCAGCACACCCTCGCTGCATAAACTATCGCGGAAAACATGCTGCAACCGAGCCGTGCTGTTCAGCTTGGCAGCTCCATCGCAGGGCCGCGGTCATCATGGCCTCAATCGACGGCACCACGACTCACTGCCATGCCCTGCAGCACGCTAATGGTCCCCTGGCAGCAACGCCTCTGTCATCAAGGGACGCTCCTTCCGAGATGCGCTCGCCGGTATCGGCTACACGACCTCGGAGGCCGCCCCTCATCCCACAACGAGTGCGCCCCTCGTCCTCACTACAACGACGACAACCCCGCCCTCATCTACAGCTCAACCGGCCCTTACCGTCGTTCAAAAGCACTCGATGGCGAGCGACGCAGACACCGCGCGCTTTTTCACAACCGCCGGTTCCTGTCACCATCACCAGAAGCACGACGACTGAGCCCGCTACCTCGACCTCACAGAAACAGTACATCAAAACCAGGAATGACATCCTCACTGGGCTTGCTTCGGGACTTCAAATGGCGCTTAGGGCCCTGTCAGTTGGCTCCCATGAGCGCAATCTCTGCAGTGCTGTGCCCCTGTTCGCCTTCGAGTCTACATCTGAACGGTTTGGCCTTTCCCTGGTCACACCTACTGCATTTCGCAAGTTCATCTCTGGTTTGTGTTAAAACGTGTACATCACTGTTCCCCCGACCTTCTTGGTGGTAATCTCAGTCGACTGCGTGTGGCATACGTGTCTTCTTCGTGCCCGCGCGTGACTCACAGTTTGAATGCCCTATTTCTTTCTCCTCTACCTTTTTTGCCTCTTTTCTCCTCTCTTTTTAATTTAGGTTCCCCCCTCCCCTGCGCAGAACTGTGGGGGTGCCCACGTTTGAGAGCGGCAGTAACAAAACTGCGCTTATTTCTTCCTTTTTCTCTTTTGAAAGTCACTTCAGCTTCGCCCCTGATATATAGCAAAGGGGACGTTATTTGTATTTACTCTGATTAGGTATGTGGTTAGATTCTGAAATATCACACAGTTAACCAAATAGCGTGGTATTGATTCAATACTTGGATCAAATAGCGCATAATAAAATTACAGAATATTTTTTCAATAATTTCTGAATAATCAGAACAGTCCGGAAAACCCTAATAAAAACTTCAGCAGATCCTACGTATACCTTGGGAATCGACGTTAGGCGAACCGTGTGGAGGAAAAGTGACCACTTTTGTACTTTTTAAAGATGATAGTCTTTCTTGGAGACCTTCGTCGCAAAACTGTCTGTCTGTACATTTGTCTGTTTGTCTACCCTTAACGGTACCGGGAACTCTGAACGGTACCAGTCGATGCGCCAAAGGGCCGACCCGATCAGCAGCACCCACCAATGTTGCTCAAGATTCAGCGTTCATACTTGTGTGATTGTCAATTAAAAAAAAATGGCAGTTCCCACGTACAGTGAGAGTGCATGATATGCGAAGAACGAATGAGGAAGGTAACTTGACATGTCACTTTAAAATCACCACAACGTTATGAGGTGGAGGTAAATTATGCCGTACATGACTTCCGTGTCATGATTATCCGGTTTTAATGTGTCATTTACCTTCATCATCTATTCACGTCACGCGATACCAAATTCAGTATATGTGGAGCTAGCGAAACACCCGCCAGCATGCTATGAACGAGGGTATGTGTTTATGTTCTTACATGCCACGCGTGTCATAATTAACATGTTTGCACTACTCATATGCCTTTGTCATCCATTGACGTCACGTAGCAGCAAATTTGGTTTATTAGGAGCTAGCGAAACGGCCATGAGTGCATCATGAAGGGCCCAATATGCTCCAGCGTAACGTTGACGCGTGCAAACGCTGGGCACAGAGAAGCTACGTTAGCAAAACGCGAGCACTCTATAGTCCGACGCTATAGGCGTGACCAGCGCGACCGGCGCGACCAGCGTCCGTCGGCGCTACCGAATGGCCACGGGGGCGAAATGCGACACTGCATTTCATGCCAATGCGTTACCCAGACAACACTGCGTCTGCCTCTTTTCGAGACGGTGGGACGCTGGATGCGCTGAAACGCGCATGCGTCAAAGCAAGCGGCGCCTTGCGTGGTAATGCCGGCGTGACGCGACGAATTGAGCGCTGGCGAGCACGCACACCGCGTCATGTCGAAATGTATTGGCACCTTGACTGTGGCATGTAGTCTTGTAGTCACATGACACTCATCTTATGATTATCACGCTTGCACCAGTCATATACCTTCGTCATCCATTGACGTGACGTAATACCGAATTTGGTACATGTAAAGCTAGCGAAACGGCCGCTAGCGCATAATGAGCGTAGCATGTAGTCGTGGGTTTACATGACACGCGTCTCATGTTTATCATGTTTGGACCAGTCTCATACCTTCGTCATTCATTAACGTCCCGTAATACCAAACTTGGTATAAGTGAAGCTAGCGAAACGGCCCCCAGCGCATCATGACCGTGGCATGTAGTCATGTTGTTACATGACGCGCATCTCATGATTATCATGTTTGCACCAGTCAAATATCTACGTCATCGATTGACGCACCGTAATAACAAATTTGGTATATTTGACGCTAGCGAAATGGCCACTAGTGCATCATGAGCGTAACC